TTGAAAATAATAAGCTATACAGTTACTGTTTTCTTTTCCTAAACAAGGGTATTACTAATATGCCCCCACATATTGTTGTGACCTGACCTTCAATAGGAGGAATAAAAGACATCCAAGTGCAAACCTGGGATTTTCTTCAACAGACCTTTTCTCTTTAAAAATATCTAACAGCTTGGTAAGTGGTTCTAAATCACATTTTTACCCGATTTTTACCAGACATTATTTTAGTCACTGAAATCTGCAATCACTGTTTAACAAAAAAAAAAAAAAGCCTAAAAACAAAGAAATAATGTAGTCCAAAAATCCACAATCATTAATCCAAAGATTAATTAGCAGTCCAATTTTANAAAAAAAAAAAAAAAAAATAGCCTAAAAACAAAGAAATAATGTAGTCCAAAAATCCACAATCATTAATCCAAAGATTAATTAGCAGTCCAATTTTACCTATTAATATAAAATGCAAAGCAAAGCATCTTACCACAAGCATTAAGCTTTAAGATGCTCAAAAAATGTGAACACTTGACTTCAAAACATGCAGATATTATTATGTACAATAAAGTTGTAACAAATTTGAAATTTAAGCATCCTTCTTTTCCTTTCACTCATCCATTTATATATGCATTCATGGATCATTGCACACTAAATCATTAAATTTGGATACTTCAGGAGTGACAGGATATTCTCTAAAACTGTGTACAGTAATGACAAATATAAACAACCAATAAACAAAGAAGGAAAAAATCTGGATCAATTGCTTTTTGCACTTTCACTTACAAAAAAAAGTATGTAAAGAAAGGGATAATAACAATAAAACTGAAGCATAAAAAGTTTCATTATTTAGGAAATAATAAACTGAGGCTGTCAGTCATTGAACATTAATGCAATTTTAGGAAGTTTGCCTGTAACCTGAAGAAAAAAATATCATTCTTAAACAAAATTACAAGTAGACTATGCTGTCTTTCCAATGCTCAAGAGCTGAAAAACATAAACTGCACAATACTTCTGATATTCAAGCATCAAAACACCACAACAAAAGAAACAAAAAAGGCACAAATTCAAACAGACATTTTTATAGCACCTGTCTCACTGAAAAAGCCACCGTAATTAGCACTATAACACCAACTGAAACAAAGACAACCACACTGGTGCAAACTGTCTCTCCAACTTTTATAATCATAGCACTACGGCTCCTGCACACTAATTACCACTTGAGAATGAGTTACGTAGAACTCCCACCAGCCTCTACTCTAAGTGTATTGACAATCCTGGGTTTATTTTTACAATGATGATTAAAAATAAAAGGATTGTCATCCCCGTAACTATACAGAAGTAATTATCTATAATCCCCATGAGTTTGTTTATATCCCACGTTATGACTTATAATCCAGACAAAAAAATTTAAAATTCTCGGCAACATCCATCGAATGTCCTTGGGAACAAAGGGATTATGAGAGAGTACAATCAAGCAAGGCTAATTCCATTATTTCCAGAAGAAGTTTCAAATAATGAGTTGGGCAGGCACAACTTGCACACAATACGCTTTCTGAATACCCTGCCGCACACAATTTTAATCGAATGGAAACAGTGATGCAGAAGTCTGACGGAACAACCTGAGCCGCACCAACTGTGCCTTTTTTTCCCAATACTTACAGTATCAATGGGTTATCTTCAAGATAGGGTTTCTAACCAATAGAAACTAATTAATTCTACAAGGTCAGGAGTTCCACCTCTCCTTTTCTAGCCGCTCCTGTTTCATGCTGTGCATTGTCTTTGTTATACTTGGTACGGCTCGTTGATTGTTTCTTGAGCAGATTATTGCGATGTGGCAGATACATTTCAAAGAAGTTTGTGACAAAGCCAGGTACAGAACCAACATTGTGTCATTTGCATGAATGAAACAATACTCCTTTGATAACAGAAATCCAATAACCTTGGTTATCCTTTTGATTTTACAGTACTTTGTTCACAGGTTAACTGATAAGACAAAGCAATTTTGGCATGGTACGGACACACTTTGTTTTATAAAGAAAAATAATAAAAAAAAGATATAAGATCCTACTGCTAATAATATAAAACTATTAATTAATTTTTTTTAAATCATAGAGTAAAAACTCATAAATAAGATCAGGAAAAGATTTATACAAGGAGTAACAGTTTCCTGTTACAATATGTGTTTTATTACTGCCCATTTCATTCCCTATATTAATCAAATTATCTCTCAATTAATTCCACGGCCCAAATTAATTCATTGTAAATATTGTCTAAAATAATTGTTTCATGCCTGTCTTCAAATTAGGGACTTCCATTCATGCTGCACGTAAATCAATTATTCAAATACACAGTGTCCACATTCACATGAACAAATTCACATTTGAATACCAAGTTTTTCATCCAGTCTTTGCAAAAGAGAGAGAGAGAGAGAGAGGGAGAGAGAGAGAGAGAGAAAGAGAGAGAAGTACATTTCAAATAGTAATTGCTGTTTGAGCAAATTTAACGAGTGCAACTTTTAAGGAGCAGGATACATGGTGGCTGAGACTGACTGTGGCTTAGATCAAAAAGACGCGGCGCGTATAAAAAGTGACGTCTTGGAAATAAGGGGCAATCGTAGCATGGCTCTGGGAGATCCAGGAGGCTTGTACAACCAATGATCCGTAACCATGGCAATGTTGGGAATGGAAATGTTTTTGCATGACTTGCTGGCTTGGTAATGGAGCATTGCCATTAAATGTCAACTACATGCAAAGGGCTATGTTCTGGCAAACTATGCTTTATGAAGCAGAGACAGAATCGGGTCCAGCACTGCCCAGGTCAAATTTCATCTGTCCTCTTTAATAAAAACCTTCAGTTGCTTGATATTTCTATTATCACAGTATGTTCTGTTGGTTATTGTTAGAATCACCCTTTTTAAAATAAATCACTTCTGGATTTAAAAAAAAGGCTCTTTGCTTTTAAGTTAGAGCCTTATTGATCTGCCATCAAAACTACGAGTCCGATATTTGATAGCATCAAATAGTTACTCTCTCCATCAACTTCAAATTAAATGAAAATGATACGATCACAGTAACAATGTGTTTATGTGTGATCAGCGTTAATCTGTCACATTTTACAGAGAAAAAGATCATCTCACTACAACGCATTTATTTCACGACTCAATGTAGAGAAACACAAATTTGAGGAAAATTGAAGCTAGGTGCAATGCAAATCATCAATCTTCCAGCGGTCTTAGGGTATTTATTTTATGCTTGGCTTTAATGAAATTAGCTCAAATTCCCCATGAATCGCAGGCGATTACATCGGGGGTAAAGCCAGCCTATCGCTAATAGTTTGTTCGACACAATTATCTCGGCATGACAATGTGAAAGGTGAATTTGATTAGAAATGCAAATGTTCCACACTGAGACAATCCAATGCCTGTAGGTAAAATACTCTTTGTGTTTTAATGCATTCACAGATTCCAGATCAATAAGTTTCCAGTGACAATGTGAAAGTAACACAATTATGTTATTACCACGAAAAGAATGAAAGCTAATGGCAGTCTGGTCTCTTTTTCTCTTTTCCCCATTAAAATGTAAGTTATAAGGTGCTTAATTACATTATTTTGTCAACAAACCGGGTGGAAGGTAAGGACGATGTGGTTACAAAGTGTGGGCCCAGTAAGTGGTGTCATTTTGTAGGGGTACACAGAAGCCATTGTTTTCTGGCAGATAATCTTGCTCAATATTTGCTTTATTTTCCATCCTTCCTACATTTCCTTTTTTGATCAACATGGCGGGATTGTTACTTTCCCACAGGCCTGCCTAATGTTTTTTCAAGTAGTCATTTCCATTATTGAACTTTAAACTCATGTAAATAACTTCCTGTAAATTCTAAAATCGGACTGACACCATTTCCCACCGTTGAAACCAGAAGTCTGTTAAAAGATTACTTTTTTATTCTGAACAACTTACAATGGTCTAATTAAATCTTAAACTCCTTTTCAGGTCAACAAAGCTAGTTAGGTCATCATTTATTGAAGTCAAGGGATCAGTCGCAAATTAGACACTTTAAATGCTATTTGAAGTATGGAAAAAGAGTCTCAATTGGGGCTTTCAGAGTCTGCATATCAGCAAAGTTTGTTTTATTGTCTCTCTCCAGAGATTTCTCAGTGACACGATCCATGCTGACAACTACATGAAGCAATTATTGTGTTTGTTTATTGATGCCATGACTGATGACTGCAGGAAAATCATCAAAAATGCACAAAAAATTAATCAGATCTGGTGGGAAAGCCATGTCAGAAATTAAATTTCAGACATGATAGATGCTGCGATCTGCAGTTCCTCGATCTCACGGGATGCAGCGAATTGGATAATAAAATTGACAAAGGGGGAAAAAATCTGCTCTTAAGAGACATCACAGCTTTTAAAAGACTCATGGCTGAAGAATTAAATGGTTTCAGCAGATATGTAGCATGCTCACTGGGGACCTATGACAGATCATTAGTGGATAAAAACAGACTCCAGAGAGCCAATGGCCTGCCATCCAAGTGCTTCTGCTAAGTGACGTTAATCTTTCTTCTTTGAATTATTAATTAATGGACATTAATCCATAGATTGAGTTTGCCACCAGTGGAAAAAAATACTAATGGACTTTTTCATAATCTGGCTGCTTGGAAAACATTATCCAGCTAGTAACTGTTCGGGGCTGATCTTCAGTTTTTGCCAAGACTGATATTCATATTAATTCTATCACAAGCTGTAAGATAATGCTGGCTTTGTTAGCAAGGAACTTCTGGCTACAGCAGGCTGAACAACTGGGAATAATTCTTACAGCAGCAAATATAAATCATGATATCTATCTCATGTTTAATGACTTCTATGTATTTTTTTTTTTTGCATCAAACTCTCATACAAGTAGCAAAACTCTTCTACCTGACATCAAACTGCCATCACACAATCAGTTTCTCTCTCTCTGTGTACATAACAAACAAACGGAGCAGTTACAAAAAGAAAAAAACTTACCTCGATGAAATTTGCCAGCAAAGCCGAGCTGAGTTCCTGCTCTATGATGCTCCTGTTTTGATCATTGTGGTAGCAGCAGACAATTAGCGTAGGGAAGAGGACATTGGTGAGGCGTGGGTCGCTGAAGTACTGGAACGGCAGGGCACAGAGTTGCTGGAGTACGGTGGGTGGACGTCCAATCTGGATCATCCCCTGGAAGACACAGCAGTCAAAATAAGACCACAAATGGATGCTAAGTGCCGTTTTATAGCCACCAAGTCTTAATGGAACGAGCATGATTGCGTGAAAAAAAGACAAGTTAAAAGCACTTGGAGCTTACAAACTTCACATGAATTCCATTTCCCTACATTAAAATCTCTAAGTCAATTACTGCTGATTAAATGTACATGAATGTAGTGGTTTATACAAACTGCAAGCTGCATGGGCAACAAAAGTTGGGGGTTAGTGCTAAAACACGCTGCACTTACAGAGAGCGTCTAAGGCAAAAACACGCCTCTGTTTTCCAAACTATCACACCTCGCAGCACAATGTTGCATGTCAGAATGCAAGCTGGAAAAGTCATTTCTGCACATCTGAGAATTCTCAGGTTATTCCTCTAGCTCATAACTAATCACAGAATTACAGAAAAAAAGAAAGACAACGAATGCGTCAGCGAATAATAATTATTCCACAGAAGAAGAAGAAGAAGAAAAAAAAAAACAACACTTTTTGAAATTCTAAACCCTGTCCCAATGTAAAACTGCCTTTCTTTAAATTTAATTAGCAGGACTGTTTTTGCAGTTGACTGCTTCTGTTTGATCACACATCTTTGGGAACTTGAGCTCAACCCTTGCATGATCTCCACTAAATCATTTCATTATCCACTCCCATTAAATGATGCATTTTCTGGCGGAGCCAATCAGTCCTAAAAGCATCTTTGGTAAATGACATGAAATCGTTCCATTACACCTGTGCCATGTGATGACTCAGGTAACAATACATTCATAGATTTTACAATCAGTCACATTATCTCCGTTTGCCACACAAAACTGCGGCAAAGCTTGAAAAGGCCTTTTTGAAATTCCTGGCAATGTGCAGATAACATTGAATATGTGAACATGACAAGGCTGAGGGAAATTCAATGATGGATGCCTCTTGAAACCAGGAGACTTGCATTAACAAATTATCTTTTTTCCACACATTACACCTAAAATAATTTTCATTCATTTCCCTAATCCATAACATTCAGAAAAAATATGAGAATAACCATTTGGCACTAAGAGTGCTTATTCACCTAAGATAAAAGAAGATGAACAGTTTGATAATACATAATCTTATATTTTGTAAGGAGGTAACCACTTATAAACATGGAATTTTTTTTTCTTAATTCACATGCTATTAATAATGGACTTGTTCTTAAATCATGTATTAATATAAATTTTCAAGAAAAAATTCCTCAAAATCAACCCAACTCGTGTACATTTTTTTTTCTTTGGAGGAACTCTTAAACCTAGAAGTAACTGCTGCACAGTCATAACATGTCACACTGTCAACAAACTATAATGCTCCTATTCTTGCCCATCCCTCACTAGGAAATCACACTTGTTGAGAACTCGCATAAGAAAAATTGAGAAAAAAAAAAGTTCGCCCAGAAACTCTTAAGTGTTGCATTAATCTGCTTTTCAACACAGCCCTGCCCTGCCCTGCAGAGACGGCAACAAAGAGGATGGAAATAAGGAACCTGAATTTCAAAGCGGTGTGCTTAAAAGCATTCGAGCAAGTTCACCAGGATTTTCCCAAGCTTTCATGTTGGTCATAGGCCACTTATGAAAGCCCATTCACCTCCAATAACAAGACGGCCACAGATCAATAAGTTAGTGATCTGGAAATCAGAGAACTTCTAATATTTGCTTGTGTCTATTTGGACGCTGAGCTATTGTTTCTCTTTATTGATTTCACTTCAAGGACTGGTTGCGGCAAATAACAAAAGTGTAAGTTTCACATTTTTCTTGCTGGGCCCAGGGGGCAGCACTGTGACATCAAAGGATGAAAAGAAAGGGGAAAAAACTCGAAAGGGGGGGGGGAGAGGTCATGCAAAGTCTGTATCTGACGCTGTATCTGGCACTTATTTCAGTTCATTATTTCTATAAATGGAAGAGAAAAAAAAAAGTTTCATGCCAAGCTAGTAAATTTCAACACACATATATATATAAGCATTATATTCCTTGCCTTTATGTATATTATTCTCATGAATCATTCTTATGAGGTTTTCAACTGGTAAAAACTTCACCTTAAACACCCATCAGCAATGAAATCATTAACACCACACCTTGATTGCTACTTAAATACAGAAAAAGCACGAGAAATCTTTTCACACGACTGAGACTTCACGTGCCACGCTGAATTACGTCCACCCAAGCAGCAGCTCCCTCACCTGATTATCATGGTTTAATACGGTGAAATACCCAACACACAGCACTACTTCGTGGAGCAACTCCTCGTTACTGTGGTGAGAGCAGTACGAGATCAGGTGACTGGTAATATGGCGGTATTCTAGAGAGATACCTTCTTGACCTAGAACACTCTGAAAACATAGTGGGGGAAAAATCAGACAACTGAAATCAAGTTAACACCTTTTTTTGTTTACTTAAATAAATACAGGCGGAGAAGGGTTGATTAAAGAGAACTGCATATGGTGGCAATTACCCATTATGCAGAATGAGCAAATGACTCATATTGAGATTTTTGATACTGCACTTGGGCAATTAACTAAAAAAATAAGTAATGCCCCGGATTTAACTCATAATGTTAATTTCAAGAATATGCCGGTAATTATTGTACTTCTCAAAATTTGTCTGTGGCTTTCTCTCTTTGCCCAGTAAACATCTGCAGGCTTTTAAAATAAGAAAAGGAGAGGGGTCTGTTTAAGACAGGCATCAACTGAACACAAAGAGTACATCTCATCGAAAATAAAAAAACAAATTTTAAAAAAAATTCAAACCTGTGACATATTAAGGTCCAGGGTTGCAATAAAGTTGAGCATCTTAATTGCTGTAGTTGTGACACTGAGAGTGTGTTGGTTGAGCTCTGGAGGTGGGCTACTACCATGGTCAGGGGTGCCACTGTGTAACAGCATGCCGTACAATAACGAGACGACGCCCACCAGCTCCGTCACCTTGAATGTGGCTATCAGCTGGGTGGTGTCCTCTGGCTTCTTCTTGTCAAATATGTTTCTGTTTCTGTTGAAATAAGATATATATTTATACATGGTGAAAAAGGCTTTTGTGTCTCTTGAAATAAGAAAAGCAAATTGACAATGTCCATCATGCGATAATAACCTTTCATTGAAGGGTCGATACATCATTACTCACAGGGAGGAGGCAGATTTCATTTCTTTGAATGAAATACTTATTTATCAATATACAGATGGCTATGATTCTGAATTTATGCCCTTATCAAAATCTTAAGCATATGAAGAAGAAGAAAAAACAATACTGGCTTAGAGATTGATTTTTTTTTTTTACTAACATGCTGGTCTTGCTGATCTTGTACAACATGGCTTAGAGACTTTTTTCTTATTAAAAGGTTAGTCTTTTATTATTATCACAAATCATTTTTGGTAACACCAGTTTTTTAACATATCATGATGGAAAAGAGTAAATTGTTTCTAAAGAGATAAAACTCAATAGGCAGAAGTTTGTAAAGAATTACTCTTTATGCTTTCTGTATAAACACACCAAATCAACATAATTACTAAATTTGTTCTTCAGAAAATGGATATATTTTTAAAGTTTAAAGCCTACCTTTTGACTGAAAGTTTGATCATGGCAGTGAGTAGTCCCATACTGTGTTGTAGAAATTCAGCTGCATGTGGAGCATCATCTATTGGACCTCGTACATTGCTGAAGTAGATGGTCAGTTTGTCCATTATGCCTACCGCTATGATGTAACTGGAAATAAAATGAAACATTTTAAGTGTGGTAAAAAAGTAAATTGCTTCTAAAAAGACAAAACATGTTTTTATCCTTGTGAGACATGATGTTTTGATTTTTCAACAAAGGCCCTTGATCACATGTTCATTACCACTTTTTCTGTTCCAATGACATACTATTAACCATCAATGTAAATGAAAATGTAGAAAGATCATGGTAAGTGTTTTATGCAAAACACTTAATCTTTTTTGCCGTTCATTACTTAAATGCTCTGTTTTATACAATGATAACCAAACCAAAGAAAATCACAGCATTCACATACAAACAAAATAAAGTCAAAAATACACTGCAATTTTTATTACCACAACAAAATTAATCTCAAGGTCATTCCATCCCAAGTGCTACACAAACCTTATGATGTCGTTCCCTCTGCTCATGAAGGCATCCCCCGTGCTGCTCATCCTCTCTGCCGAGGCCTCACTGGAGTTAGAACTAGGGTTCTGTTTGGCCAGACAGGACAAGATGGTGGCTATCAGTTGCATCAGACTAGTACAGACTACATCATGGGGTAGGTGTGGAGTGGCTTGGGCAGTGCTGCCACCTAGGGCACTAGGGGGACGAACATCTAGGTTGTCTGGTATTGTGAGCTGGAAAATAAATCAATTGAATATTTTGAAAAAAAAAAAAGAATTGAATTTCAAAGTTTTGGGTAAAATATGATGTATTCAAACTAGGGTCTGGGTGCAAATCATTGTGCTTGTTGTTAAATGGTAGAAGTTAAACTACTAAGAAACCTAAGAATTGAACTAATTTTTTTTTTCTGTTGAGGATGAAAAGTTGGCTGGACAAGAAAAATGAATATGGGAAATTATCCACTGCATAAGCTTCAACTCAATCATTCTTCTTTGTAAGCAAATGAGACTAATATTTCTCAGACATCAAAACTGATACTCAAGTCTAGAAAATTGTGAAAACTTGGTATGAGAATTTCCACTAGTGTCAGGTCAACATACTGAAACATGTTATCACCACAGCAGATAAGTTTTCATGGGCAGTTAGTTCTTGAGCTTGGCAAGACAAATGAAGAGAGCTGTGGAATTATAACATCTACACCTACCAAAGGGACAATTTTTCTGTGAAATACGGGAGGAGGACAGTAAAATAATCATACATAGATACTAAATATGAATCTAGAATACTCACATTTAGTTGGTGACTAAGCAGATCTAACAAAGAACCAATCTTGTTGCTGAACAACAAGTAATGGCAATTCTCATAATTCCCCTTGCAGGCATACTTGTAAACATTGCAGGCCAGTGCAAGAGATCTGAAAAAAAACAAAAACAAATGATTATTAATGAATTCTAGTGCATATACTGATAATCAAGTTTCTACAAGTTACCTTACCCAAGAGTGAGAAGTTTGAAACGTATACAGTGCAAAATTTACCCAAACATTTCTAAATCATCACTATATAGTCTTATGCTTTAGACCAATTTCAAACTAAAGTTCTTTTGTAAATTGGGGGTCAAGTGTTAACAGAACTAGTGTACATACTTGGCAGGTATTACAGGAGGCAGAGAATCCGTGCTTTGTTCAATGACCAGCAATAACCTGCTGAGGGCAGTCATTCCACCACAGATACGGAATGAGACCTGGTCAGCTGCAGTCTGGAAACAAAGGTCAGAGGTCAGGGTTGAATTCTTAACTAAACTGCAAATGACTTGCTAAAGCAGGTGAAAGGCAATGAATGGCACTTTATTAAAAAGAAATGCAGACATGCATAACAGAAAATTTATCAAAAAGCACCTTCAAAGAAATGTTGTGAAACAGATGTTAATGCAGGAAAATGTACCATGAGCTGGAAAATGTCAATACTCATGACTAAAAAATTGTGAAAACTTGCTATGAGAACTTCCAGAGTGTCAGTTTAATACACTGAAATATGTCATCAAATTTTTAAGAAAAAATTCCTCAAATTTAACTAAACTCATATGTACATTTGGTTTACACAATAGTCATAGAATGATACGTTTCATCATTTGTCATTCTTAAGCTGGAGTGGCACACATATACCTTTTTCTCCAGTATTCTGCTGAGTTCTCCTAGTATTCTGTCTAACATAGAGACTCTACTCTGGGGCCATGGCCCACTACCCTGTGTCTGGAGAGACTTGTTGATGTCTTTTACCAGTTTCTGTAATCTGTGAAAAGATAAATAAATTTAAATATTAAATTATTATTTTAAACTGAAAATGGAAAACTAAAATATGAACATGTTTTGCACAAAACAGAAAAATAATATAGTTAACTTAATGTAAGATATTAGTTTGTTTGCTTTTTAAAAAAAATTCTCAAGCAAAGATTTTTTTCTTCAAACGTACTTGGCTTTCTGAGGAGACTCCCCAGTTGCTTGCTTGCCAGAGAGAGCATTTTCATATTCACTGCCCCTAAATAAAATGAAATAATACATTATTAACATTTTAACAATCACTGGCGTGAAATATAAATACATTCCACTTCATGAATATGGCATAACATAATTAAATCTTAAACAAAACCTTTATGTATCTGAAATAAGATCATGAGAAATTTAACCTACTTTAAAAAAACTGTACACCCTTTATAATGACCGTATATAAAACATATCAACATTTCTGAAGACAATATCAAAAATCTTTTTCACATCAATTCTGTAGGCCCATACCTAGCCATCATCCTCTGTCTAAGTTTCTTGCAGCGTTTCTTCATGGCCTTCTGTCTTTCCTTGTCTGACATTATAGGCAGATCTGAGGCCTCTGGTGGAGCATCTTGTATATGCTTTAGATTGAACAGTTCCTAATAAAACAAGAAAGGTGAAAAATATGAAATATGTTACCAAACCAGAGTTTTTCAAAAGAAAAAAAATTCAGAAGTGCTACATTTCACAACGAGGAAAAAGGACTGACAGTGCAAATCTTATTTCAATATTCTAAAATGTCACAATGTCAATTTCTCCTAGTGAACAGAATTCTATTGATCAGTACACTATATTTGTAATACATATTTATCCAAAATAAATACATACTATATCAGTCTTAGCCATGACTTTGCCCTCATTATTTTCTTTTATCGCCTCTTGGTGTTTCTTCCCTCGTAAGTGACTTAGAAGGTAAACTTCTGAGGGAATCTGAAACAACACAGCAAAATAGAAGTACTGGTGGAAATGAAAGTACTGAATCACATGTTCAAAATATAAAAACTATTTCATGTAGCAAAACGCATTTCTGTGAATCAACTCCTCAGCATTAATGGCATATCTTTGAAAACTAGCAAAATGATCTAATGCATTATATGATAAATATTTATCATGCCCTCATTTCTAAAGTCATATTTTATTGAATCACATTGTCTTAGTCTACATATACAATTTCATATATTTCACATATTTAAGAATTGAAGGATGTGTACTTGTTAATTTAAGATGGCATGTTTTAATGTTTTCAATTCTAAGTTTTAATCTACTCATTGAACACAGCACTGTGATGAACATATAATGTGTAATTTTAAAAACTTTTCATCATCATTGTTATCATTGCTTACTCCACGTTGCCTTGAAAACTCAACAGCTTCTACATACCAGTACATTACAAACTTGACAGACTTTCATTGTGTCATATGGCACCAGTCTGGGTGCTTCATTGTGGTCCTCTGTGGAATGGTTGATCACACTCATCTCAAAAGCCTTCTCTCGGATCTGGTCCAGAATAACATTGTGACGCCTGGCAGTCTCATCTTGCTGTTATAAAAACAGAAAATGAACCATTTATTATTTCATTTTCATAAGGGAAAATAGAACAACAATTAGTTTTGAAAATCCTAGAAGACTTAAGATTAACTTGAACCAAATGAAAAAACGAGGGCAGTCTCATCTTGCCATTAAAAAAAGAGAAAACGAACCATTTCAGATTTCATATTTTAAAAGGAAAATAGGCAAACAAAAACTTGATTTTTGAAAATTTTAAAGGTCTTATCTGCAAAAAAAGTCTACTTGTTAGGGTTCTCTTTATTTCTTATATTATGAATCTCACCTTTAACTGAATCTTTGTTCTCAGCTCATCAATGTGTGCTTGTTGCTGAGCGTGTAGAGCTGCAACCCTCTCCTCGCGGTCCTTTTCTCTCTGTTTAGCCACCTCCTTCTTTTCTTTCTCCTTCTCCATCTGCTGCTGTTCTATCTGTATTTCTTTCTTTTTTCTTCTTTCCTGCATGTCCTGAAGTTTAGCCAATCTTTCAGCTTCCAGGGCTTTTCTTCTTTCCTGAAAACAACATTGAGAATTTTTTCATCTTTGTCATTTTAATAATTATCAATGTCATTATGATTTACACATAAAAAAAAAAGATTAATATCATTCATAATCCATGTCATTTTTGGATGTTCTTTTAGTTGACATGCCTACGTGTAATATGGAACAACTGGCTTTTTTAAAACAAAAGTAGTGCCCGACCAATCTAAGTGTTTCTAAAATATTTTCCCCAAAAACTCAACAAGTTAATTCAGCCATATTTTAATTTCAACAAACTATACCTCCACTGCAACTTCTTTGGCCAATTTCTCCTCGTGTTTTCTCTGTCGCTCTTCCTGTAAAAAGTATGCACGCACATCAATAACTAATACAATAGCTGAATAATTTTTCTTGAGACACTTAAAAGATTTCACCACGTTCAAGAAATAGGGTTTGAGCCTATATGGATTTTAAAGTAAGAATGAGAAAACAAACTACATTAAAAAAAGACACAAAGTAAACAGTCTGTCTTGACCAGAAAATAAAAAGGAAAGATTTACTACAAAATTTAACACTGGAATGAAACAACGTAAAACAAAAGTTTAGGCGTTCATTCAGAGAAAATAATAACAAGTTCATCCATAAAATAAGAGTCAGATACAAGGAATCACCCAAAACAACTTTCAATATAAACCCCTCTTCTTTTTCTCAAAATAAAGAGTAACTTCTTTTGCTGCAAAATTTATAGAAATGGCATGCCTGCAGGTCTTGAAGCCTTGCTTGTGATTCTTGATGTTTGGCTAGTATGTCATGACGCTTGTTTTGAGCTTCAAGAGTATTGATGAAGGCAATTTCATTGGCCTAAAAATTAAGAAAAGGCAAAATTAATTAATCTAAGATGGGAAAGATAGAAAAATAAATGTCCTTTTAAGTTCTGATAACTATACTTGTTTTCGAAATGTATTGGGTTTGATGCAAGACCGCATCATGGTATTTTTGATTGTAAAGAAATTTCCACTTCTATTTTTTTCCTTAAAATATTCTTCAAAACTAAAATATTTTCAAATTTTTAAAATTCTTATTTAAAATTTTTTTTTTTATTACTTCAATGAAAATTAACAAGCTGTTCTTTGCAGAGCAACAAAGACTTAAAAGGAAAATAAGGCAATCTAAGTAGCAAGAAAGCATTTCAAGTCTTAAAACTAAAAAGAAAACTCCACAACAAACAAACAAAATTGAAAGTAATGAGGAGTAAAGTGATGAGAAAAAATAAACAAAAATACGGATCATAACCGCACAAATTGTAACAACACATAATTACAAATACCTACCATGTTAATAGACAGCTTTATCTTTGCAAATTGTATACTTTTATATCATTATATCAGAATTTCATTCTCTTTGTCAAATTTTTGCCTGACTTTGTCATCTACTGATAAGTTCTGCACGGGTACTATTGTACACGTCTTATTAATATGTTAACTGACCAACTGTGACAAAAGACAGTATTGTTCTTTTATTAATATTCCCACTTGCATTCCAAAATGCATCAATAGTCATATAAAGTTTAAAGGTACCTTGGTTTCTTCCTCATGAGCTTTTCTCACTTTCATCCTCAGCTGTCTTTGCCTCTTTTCTTCTGCTCTACGCAGTTTGTCTTTCATCGTTTCTTTTTTCTGAAGCAGGAGTTCATTTTTCCAGGCCCTCACTTCTTCAACCTAAAAACATCATTTATATATTCATGACTTCTCTTTTATCAAGGTGAAATAGTTAAAAAGCTCTGACTACCACTTTTAAGAAACTAAGCACATGTTGCCAGTTTTAACGTCAACATAACATTGGAATTTTATTTTAATTTTATTTCAATTTTAAAAAATCTGTCAAACGATAAAATGAAGAGCCAAGTCAACTGAGGCTAACCTTATTAGATAATTCCTTTAACCTTTCTGCTTTTTCTTGCAGCAGCTTCTCTCGAAGTTCTTGAGCTTTGGCTTGTTTTTCGTCATGTCTCTTTTTAGATTCCACAGCAGATCTAAAGAAGAAACATGATTTCAGTACTGGCAAATAATTTATGTGTAATCATTTTTAAGTCAACAATGTAGCAACCTCCATAAAACAAATAGCAATGACTTTTAAGGGAATATCAAAAAGATATCTTTTAACCATAAAATATAAATTATATCATTTCATACATGTACAAAGAAACAACGGGAACTATAATATATGATTTTATATATCCCAAAAAGTTATCAGTCTTCTTTTCAAATATAATATACTTATGTCCAATGCATGCATAGAATGTATTATCAAACTCACCTACTGATGATCAATAATATTCAAATAAATTGTTTAAAATCAAAAGAATTTCTCAAGATGTAAACCTATACATGGTTATTTTTGAAAAAATTGTATTCTGTTTATTACCTTTTTCTGGAGGGTGAAGAAAGTTTTTCGTGCATATGAACACTTCTCCCAGGAGTGCGTGTCTCTGCTTCTTCGACAAGATCACCCCAGGATGCTTCAGAGCCACCTTCTCTCTCTGCTAATTAAAAAAAGAAAAACATAAGATTTGCGCTAAAAAAAGTTGGAAAGGAATCATATTAGGGTGCCTCAAGATCCATGTCTACAAATAGGCAGGAGTGAAAGTTGTGAAAAGTGAAAAATCTTGAAAGTTACTCTTCAATTCTTTTTTTGAAATTTGAGATTTATAATCCTGGCAACAGTAAATTTATTGATGATGATTTTGTAATTGACTTTATACCTTGTTCAAACTTCAAGACCATGCTGTCCCAGTCCAGAGTGCTCTGTGAAGCTTCCAAAGAGCTCATTGTATTCTGAAATATGGCAATGAAATGTGTAGATCATTACAGTAAATTAGACACGCCAACAAAATACTCTACAGAAGTCCATAAAAAAATGAATAATTAGTGTGTAGGACTCAATAACCTTCATCATTATAATCCAAAGTTGCAAAAAAATAAATAAATAAATAAAATAAAATATGACAATTTCAAGCACATCTCACTCACTTGCATGCACACACACACACACACACACACACAATTAACCAAACTTTCCTACCCCAAGTTCAGTATCTGTTTCAGTCTCTGGCTCAGTGTCCACTTCAATCTCCATGCTCTCCTCCCTCTCTATCTGCTTAAGGTAGTTTTCTTCTTCTTGGATGGCAGACTGCAGGGCCTGATCTTGCTCCTGTTCCAGCCTGTCTGCCAGCGAGTCTTCTTCTTCCATGGCCGTCACCAAAGCCTACAAAATTTCCAGAATCACTCAATGATCTACAATTCTGTACAGTGTTTAACAAGTTCAGTGGTTTAGTTGACCTTGCACATAACATACTAATAGGGACTATTTTTGTTTGTTATATGCAAAATCTGTTAAACACGTAAACCATGTTTTGCTAGACTGAATCAGGACTACCAGGTTCTGTATGGTATAGGCCAGTGTCCAGTTAATGTGAGGCTGTTATATGTGAAGCATACTGCATACAAACAAAATAAACAAACAAAAGTTGAGCCATAAGAAGGAATTCAAGAATTTATGGATGTTGATGTTATACATATAGAAATATATTGCACAAATGGTGCAAATGTTTAAAAAGCCCTAGTTCCTAACATATACTTTGATTTGTTTGGAAATTCTAAGATTTTTTTTTACATATATGCAGTGTTAGAAATTAAGGCTGGACCGTCTGCCCAGGGCTGACAACTTTTAGAACAGGCTGAGAAGTTTTCCCACCCGGCAGACATTCAGTCCAGCTACTTTTCAAGATGGCTGGACTTTCGGTCCAGCAACTTATTTTCCTAAGAGGCAAACACTGCATATATGGCATCCTTACATCTTCTAACAGAGCCACATCATCTTCATCATCTCTACTGGCCACACTCTCTGGGTCCTCCTCTATCTCTTCCTTTGTAGGAGATATCTTCCTATCATCACTAGCAACTCCCTGTGAAGCACTCATGTCTTGTTGTTTATTTTGGTCACTTTCAGGATTACCTTTCACTGATTTTTTATCACAGATTGGGTTTTGGGTATTACTTTGGAGAACTTCAGTTTGAAATGTTTTGGGTTTTACTGGAGATTTCTGTTGACCACTAGGCTGCTGTCTCTTTGGTTGACCGAATGCTGACTGTTGTGGACCTTTTCCTGGTGACCTAGCGCCTTTGTGACTTGTATCAAGATTCTCATGACTGCTAGCTTTAGTCTTATTCAGTCCTGTTTGGCTTCCTTTAGGACTGCCCCTGGCAGCAATGTCACTATAGGAAGGGGTCTTTTTTCCCATACCAGGCCCAGATGGACTTTTATGACTTCCATTTGCGGGTCCCTTTTGTGTAGAATGGTCCTGTTGTTGTTTAGGTGTGACTCCTGTCCTTTTCTGGGCATTGTTTCTATGGTTTTGTGGGGTCCTATTGCCCTTTAACCTGCCATGTGGACCCGTTTGGACTGGTGAATTCTTGGAACGTGTCCGGTGGTTATTTCTGTGGACAGTCTCCCAGCCTTCCCCATCATCTGAAATATCCGAGTATCCAAGTATCAAATATCAAATATTCAAGTATCCAAATATCCTTTACATGAAGCTGTAATTTTTTAATTACCATAACTTGGTTAATTTGTCCTAACACTCTGCTTCACAATAAAATGAGTGACCTGCATTTAACCTCTTTAAACTTTACATCTTAATCATTTTTTGATATTCTGTGCATCTTAAATTTGAAAATCCAAAGTATGTAAAACAATGGTTTAACAGTCTTTCTGTTTGAAACAGAGCCAGCTATACAAAACAACTTATCCTTACCTTCTTGTGGTGAGGACACCCTGTCTGGACCCACTTTTTCAACTGTTTCACTTCTACTCACTACTTCAGTATCTTTAGAAATATGTGTTTCATTTACAGGAATTTCTCCAATGTCATTTTTCTCAGGTTTGACCGTTTCCCCTTCAGACGAATTCTGCAGTCTAGTTTCACCACTGTCCATGGAGTAAGATCTCACTTTATCGGCCCAGCTGTTCCCTGGAGGAAGGGGAAGGTGCACTTCTGTCTCCGCCTCTGAGCCCCTCTCAGCGAAGTTCAGGCTGCGGGAAATCACTGGACTAGGACTGATCACACGGTCTCCTGTGTGGAGAGATTTGCCAGGGGAGGTCTTCCTGATCTCCCAGGCTATAGATATTGGTCTGAAGTGGAAACAACAGGCAAGGTTTTAAAATGTATGCATAGAACTACATATAATACCACATCATGCCTGTGGCCATGAAATACAATATTTCTGTATCGTAAAAATTATACATATTTCGATGCTTGATAAGATGCATTTTTTTTAATTTAGAGAAAAAATTCACTTTTGAGGGAAATTATTTGACCTATAAAACTGAGGTGTATAAAATGAAGAAAGAATAAGGACTTCACTCACTTCTTTTCTGCATTTTCATAAGCTTCCATCACTTCCAGTCTTTCAATGAGATTCTTAAAGTCTTTGGTACACTGCTCAAGCATCATGATCACCTCCTAAAACAAAAGTTTTTTATTTTGATGTTCCTGTTTAATTATCATAACAGTGCTTAATTAAAAACAAAACATAGAAATAGGTCAGATTTAATCTTGGTAAACCTTAAGATCAAAACATAAAAGAAAGACTAAAATATTTCTGCTCAAAAGTTTCAGTATACGACTTTATCTTTTTAGGGAATCTTACATTGCTTTTCTTTACCAAAATAAGCTTGTTCAATGTATGAATTTAAAAAAAATGTAATAGACTGCCAAAGTGCTTGAACAACAATACAAAAAAATAAATAAATAAATAAATAAATAATAATAATAATTTTTACCTTGCACTCTAGCACACTCTCATCAGCTTCACATGTTTGATATATCTCATCCACTGCCCTCTGTAGGTTATCAAACAGGAAAGCCCAGTACCTGGCACGAAGATCACTCTTTTTGCTGCCCCTACTGGGCGTCGAACGGCCTGAAGATGTGCCAGATTTTTCATGGGCCTTTTTTGGAGGTGGGGTATTTTCCCTTGATGAAGATGATGGCGACTTTGAAACTCTAAGCCGAGGTCTATAAGCAATGCGTTTTCCACTGTCAGCTGAAAACAGCAATTATAATAATAACATTAATTGTAAAACAAAATGAAAGTTACAATCCCTTACTATTCAAAATGGTGTAAGTTGTAAGTCTGCATTATGTTCCAAATATTAAAATAGAAAAAAAATCGGACACGATGCCAGTGGATAGCCAAGCCATATCTCAAATGCAAAGAATTTTCTCACCTCCCTCATCCTCAACAGGAACAGTCCACCCAATAAGATTTCTGGCTGTCCTTCCTTCCTCTTGCACTATCTTACGTACTGTGTCATAGCTGGAGGTCCTCTGCACAAGACCCTGGCAGAAATAATGATAATTATAACATGCAACAAAATGTACAATACATATAATATATGCAACTACCATCACAGTTGTAAAGTTCAGTTCTTGTGCTAGGCTCATTGTAGTAAATAAAGATTTTGTAAATGCTAAACATATTCTAATTGGACTATAAAAATGTCTGAATATTTAACTCTTTTCAGATAAAGTCATCATTATTATGTTTCAAAATTTTGATTTTGGCTTAGATTATCAAGTTGTTATATAAAAAAATTAGCTTTAAATGGAACCCAAAATTAATTCATCACTGTAGTCTTTTTGGTGCAGCGTGTCAAAATGTCAAATGTCAGGATGTCAAAATTTTACTTGAAATGCAGTATAAATGTGTGGAGAAGACCATATGGCACTAACTATTGAACCAATAATACACACCCTCAGAGGAGCATTTAAGAAAGTCATCAGAGACTGGCTTTGTTCTTGGAATTAGAGCACGCAGAAAAATTACTGCTGTCTAGACTGCCAGTCTAATAGCCACTTTTATGGTTATGAATAAAGCATAAATTTGTCCTACAATTCTTGTCAAAAGCTGCTCCTGGATTATGAATACAAGATGAGATACTATGTACACCACTTTTCTATGCTGCAAAGTAAGACTGAAACATCACAGTCATAACCAGTGTGCTATGATGCCCTGGGATCCTACACTTCCACTGTTCAATAGTTGTTGTAATAGACAATAACGTCTTCCTATACTGACTACATCGAAATAACTTTTTCTGGTTTCTGCCACTCCACTGGGCCTTGACAACAATTTCAAAGACTTGTATGAATGTAATGATCAAGCCATCAACTGTACAACTGTAATAGGGGTCTCCTGTAAAAATGGCCTTCCATAGCTTTGTATAGTTCCCTTACTGTCTAGGGAGAGATTACCCCAACTCTTAATCTAGCCTAAATGCACACAACAGTGAGCCTATGGAGATGAAGTCCTGAAAATGCTAAAGTTGGAACTTGGGATAGAAACAATTACCCCCTCTGCAGTTCATAAATATATCAACAAGACAGGGGCTAATTAAGCTCGCACATCAATTGTCACAGCCAAACAACGTTAATCTTGGAGTACAACATTTCAATGTTAAGCAAACTGCTGTAGTTAAACTAGAAAATATCGATTTAGATGGATACTCACTTTGGTTGTTTTCGTTCCCCCGTTCATGAGCTGAGTTTGCAAGTTCCTATCCCCGCCATTAGTCCGATTGCGCGGGTTTGAGTTGTGCCTGCGCCTTCTATTATCACTCATGTCATATAATCACCTGTTATATATACAAAATGATCTCATCTCCCTCAGATAAGGGTGCTAAATTCGTAACTGTGTCACCCGTAATGTCAGAGGGCAAAATAAGATAACATTATGCCCAAGAGAGTCGGTGGAACGTGCTTTCTGATTGGTTAGTTATATCTACCATTTTTACAAAGTTTAGTTGTACATTTAATTATGATACACTGTTCAAAGATATATGTAAAATAAGCCTGTAGAAATTAAAAATTATTTAAAATAAAATTTAAAAAATATTAATAGATAAATTTGCAAACAATATGTGTATATGATAATAAACATATTTAATCGAAACTTTGGAAAAAAATTAGGCGAAATGTTAGAAGTGAAAGTGGCTTGGTTCCTTGTTTTGTGCCTAGTTATTTTAGCCAATTGCATCAATGTTCTAGGTAAGAATGACACTTTAAAGGCTTGTCACAATAATTTATACAATATACACATTACAGGTCGTATATTTCAATTGGTTATGCACGACATAACCTGTGCATCATATTTTATATTTTTACACTTATCTTTATGAGACATACTGTATGTCAAAATGCTACCAGTACGTGAAATGTACTTGTATCTTTGAACTTGCATGTACCCAGTTCCTTACATTTATAAGTAACAGCAGGGGCAGCCAGTGAACAGACGTGTTTTTTCTTAAATGGCTGGAAGTTTACCTAGGCTAATTTCTTACCATGACTAATGACTATCTACCCTTCGTAATTGAAGGTACGCATAAAAGTAAAACCAACATTAACCTGAATGCTTCTCTGACGTTAAAATGGAAAGTAAGGTTGAAAGACATTATAAGTTTGAGAACTATATCCATCCCATACAGTGCAGTAGTGAAGTGAGACTTTAAGAAACAAATTTATCTAATGACTATTATTGACTGGAATCTTCTGGACAACTCTATGGGCGGCCAAAAGGGCAAAAAATCCTGTCGTCGATTCAGTTATGTTTCGTCGATTCACTGCCTTCCCATCGATTCAGTTTCAAGTTTAAACGATCCTGTCATAAATTCAACATCTACTTTCGTCAATTCAACTGTCAAACATTTCTCATCTACGGTGTATTAAAACCAATGCTGTCACTATTTTCGTCGATCGTGTAACTATTCTCGTCGATCGTCTTATCTCGTCGATCGTCCAACTAATCTCGTCGATCGTGTAACTATTCTCATCGATCGTCTAATCTCGTCGATCGTGTAACTATTCTCATCGATCGTCTATTCTCGTCGATCGTCTCATCGATCGATCGCCAGAGGGCGCTGCGGTAGCACATTGGCCTATCACATGACTATCAAAATGGCAGACAACAAAATGATTGCTAGTGAAATAAGAACATTTTCTCAACAATTTCAATTTTAGTTGTTAATAATTAAAAGATATTCGGTTGTAGGGACATTATTTTCTAGTTGTGCTTAACTCTGACCATGGCTGGCCGAGTTAAAAATTACCGCGTGATTGACAGACAGAAGCACGTGTTGCTACCGCAGCGCCCTCTGGCGATCGATCGATGAGACGATCGATGAGAATAGTTACACGATCGACGAGATTAGACGATCGACGAGAATAGTTACACGATCGACGAAAACAGTTTGACGATCGACGAGATTAGTTACACGATCGACGAAAATAGTGACAGCATTGGTTTTAATACACCATAGATGAGAAGTGTTTGACAACTGAATTAACGAAAGTAGATGTTGAATTTATGACAGGATCGTTCAAACTTGAAACTGAATCGATGGGAAGGCAGTGAATCGACGAAACATAACTGAATCGACGACATGAATGTTTGCCCTTTTGGCCGCCCATACAACTCGTCATGCCATTTGTAAAAGTAATCTCTGTACCCAATGATGTCACCAAGGTAAAATTCTTGGCCTGTGTCAGAGAAATCTTTTATTTGAAATTGCAGGTTGTGCATATAACAATAAGAAGATTTCTCTTACAGAGGTTGCTATTTGAGGCCTTACCTGGATTGATACTGAAGACTGAAAACAGTCAAAGTCAGAGCAGTATAGCACTGAAAGACTAAGCCTAAGCCAGGTACTGTAGGTTACTTCTCCCACCAAGCGCTGCTGATGAAAAAGTTTGTTACAGTACAGAGTATGAGATAAAAAGATAAAAAATACAGAAATTGTTTTTGTTTTAGGTCAAAATCAACCCCGTATAACAAACAATTTCTCCCCTGCGAGGATCCCAATAGCCGACCTAGAAGATTTGAACTTAACATGTACTGGTGTCTCATCTTCGGATCCAACACCAACATGGAAGAAAGATGGAAAACATGTGTCAGTAAACACTAGTATATCCATAGAAAATGGCCAGACATCTACAGGTATTCCTACCAGCACGCTGATCTGGAGAAAGGTTCCTCTGGAAGCAAGTGGAATGTATACATGTCAGTTTGCTGGGGTTGGAGAAGACACAGAAGAAATATACATAATGAAAGGTATTGAGACTAATGGATTACTCATTGCAGATTATTTAATGGTTGAATCATGAAGGTGTTTTTTTTAAAGAATTTAATTTTTGACATTTTTGGTAGTTTGTTTTTAAAGTTTTATTCTGATACATAATTACGTATACATAATTATTTTTCAGCGGAAACTGTCAATGTTCAAGTGTCTCCATTTTCTGCGGTAAACCTGACTTGCACTGTTTTTAATTGGCAGCTGTATGAAGGTCCTCAGTTTTACAAGAATAATACTCTACTGGATGCAAATAACAACAACTATGAGCAGTCAGATGAAATAACCACTTTGAACAGAGGCCTAAGCCAGGGGAAAGTTCATTCTTTTAAGATTCTGAATGCCAGTGAGTAATTAAATTACAATTAATTTTTTATTATTGTGTGCAAATTGTTTACTACCTAATGCTAAAGATGATTTACTTAGGGAAAAAAAGATAAGACTCGTTTTTGCATATTTTAAAAATTTGTCTTTATTCTATTGCAAAAAATGAAAGTCCTTTGGTGTAATAACACAACAATATTCAAAATTTTTTTCTGTAACAATAAAAACAATAATATTTAATTTATGGTTTGAAAAAGCACGTTAATAATGTTAAAAATTTTTTTCAGCTAAATATGATGGTGGCAAATACACATGTATGGTTACTGTGAGATATGGTAAAAACAATGGAAATACTGAGCATCTTAGAAGTGACTTCACTTTAACTGGTAAGGTGTAGATATACTGTAGGGGCTCCATATAAAAATTGTTGATTTGTAGTAGGCACTGGTACAGTCTAGTAATTTGAAATGTATACCTATGTGAATTGGTTAAATCCAACTGGTGACCAATAATTTTCCAGATGCATCACATTTTCTTAATATACATATATAAACTGATTGGACAAAATGAAGTCTATTTTGCCTCCAACATGAATTATTGAATAATCGACTACAATTCATCAATATAACACAATACTAGTACATGATTTGTGTGACTGTCAGTTTTTTTATCCAACAGATATAGATATAACTTCATTCATGGCTGTTTATAAAATTTACATTTATTTATTTAAATCTGACTTTTGCATCTTTTTTTGTTTTTTTTTCAGTGTCTGAGTCTTCAGATGTCACAAGAGGTGGTGGAATAAGTTGGCAAAAGACGCACATTACCAGCTTCTTCATAATCTCACTGCTGTCTCAAGCACTAGGATATTTGATTTTGTAATGTAACAGCTACATGTACGTATGCATGTTTGCATGTATGTTTCTTTGCTTTTTTTTAATCCTGCAAAGCAGTATCAAGATATGAGTGGAGAGTGGTGGAATTCATTTTAGTTAGAACTGCTTCTCACCCTCCCCCTCTTTTTGTTATATAATGGGGTAAACCTGATGTCATAGTACTTTCACTCCTAAACTAAAGCAGTCATTATTTTAATTGACACTGGTAATTTTCATTGTAAACCTGCCACAGTATCGATCAGTACGTACCTGACTGAATATCAGGCAGGTATCAGGTTCCAAAGGATTTAAGGCTGAAATGGAGTGTTGCCATTAATTGTGCCTGCAAATATACAAAAATGCCTTTATATTCTCGGTCTCATGATAGATGTCAAGCATCTGTTCGTTGACGCTTCCTTAGCTCAACTATAAGCAGGGGCGGATCCAGAGCAGTTTTCTGACAGTCTTCCAAATTATCTTTGTTGATCCTTCCTCCTTTTCTGACTGTCTTCCAAAGAAAAAATAAGATATCCGCCAATGTAAATTGAAAATGTGACTGTCTTCCGGAAGACCCAGAAGGCTGCCTCAATCTGCCCCTGATAACATCCAAAGACAAGAAGGCGCTCAAAAAAATCCAAAAACATGCTGCACGTTCAACCGTTTTATTTAATCTCCCCCTGCTAGAGATTTTGCAGTAACTCATCAAGATAAGTCAACTGCACAACCCTTTTAAAAATTAACTCTGCATCATCTCCTTTCCTTGAAAATTTACCTCTTTTTGAAACGTGCTATAGCTAAAACAAATTTTAACTTATAACTTTATAATAATAATAATAATAATAATAATAATCTTTATTGGAGAATCGCAACCCGAAGGTTGAAGTTATACAATTATGTATATGAATATTCAAGTCAAGGAAGCCTGGTCATTTTAGCACTGGTGCACTCCGTAGACGGTCTCACCTCCCTGGGGAGCATACAGCTCGGCTGCCATATTAGGCGCTCATAGCTAATATATCATTTCTGCTCTGCCTGACCAGGCCCCTGCTTCAACTCCTTAGTGCTGAGTGCCAAGCGGGGAGACAGCAGGTAACATTTATGAAGGACTGGTACGTCCCTGGACGGGTTTTGAACCCACGTCCTCCCGCTCCGGAGGCGGACACTCTAACCACAAGGCCATCCGGTCGGTTACTTAAGTTAACTTTATCTTAAGTAAAAAAAAAATTAAACACAGGCCTGGGATGGAAAAAGAGTCGGACTATTCCTTTTCCATAAAGACAGAACTGAGACATTAGTGATTTTTTTCTGGGTCTGTCTCCTAAGCAGCTCACTCATCTCTGACAGTGAAGGGAGAAATCTTGACAAATAGTCTGAATTGCCTTTACATTTTCAGGCCTGGGCCCCGTTTCACAAAGAATCTTAAATCCGTAGTCGACTAGCCCGAGCTGGGTGACCTAGCTAGGTCGACTTAGCTGAAGTCGACTAGGAGTGTTTCACAAAGAATCTAACGTCTTAGCTTGGCGTGCTTACCGTAGTCGACGCGCACGAGAAACTCTTCAAGAAAAGGAGGTGTAAAATTGCAAAAGTTTCACAAGACATGACGTTTCGTGGCCTCTTTCGGCCGAGAACGATCGTTTATCAACAATAAAAGTCAGCCAAAACACAAACAAAGTTTGTTTTTGAACTTTATTGATTAGTTTAACTTCAATACAACTTCAAAGTAACAGTTAAACATTAGCTTGTCGTGGAACACTACTGAGGGACGTCTAGCGGTCAAAAACATAAACAAACACGCGATCGGCTGGGTAAAGTGGAATTTTATTTTTTATTTTAATATTCCATAAATGTCAGTGCTATTCAAGGATATTATAACACAATATCTTGAAGGAGGTATATGTTCTTTCCAAATTTTTGTTGTTAATGCTCTCATTTACTGGGTTTTAGTTGAGCTTGCCGACTTAAGTCTCCTCCCGAGGAGGCTTGACATCGTCGACTTACAGCTAAGAAAAAAACGATGTAAACGACCTTTTAGATTCTTTGTGAAACGGGACTTAGTGACGTAATGACTTAATTACGTTGGTAACCAAGCCCTAAGTCAGAGAAACTGACTTAAGTTTTTTTGTGAAACGGGGGCCTGGACTTAAAAAAGAATAGCATCGATCTCTGATGGGTCTGGGTTAACTCCAGTTGCAGTGAAGAGGTGTCCCTTGTATGCAACTTCAGTCATTTTGTACTTCATCTTCCTGGGGTTGAACTTTAAGCCAACCTCTCGAGCACATTCTAGAAGTGCATGTAGATTTTCATCAGGATCATTCTCGGCTTCCCCTCCAGTATCTCTTCTGCCATAAACAAGTATGTTGTCTTTAATGACACTAACTCCTTTAAATCCTTTGAGGGCTTGTTTCTGGCATCTCTTGTACTCTTTGGGAGCTGAAGAAATTTCCTGAGGGCATTGCAGTTATCTATATCTTTCATACGGTGTCCAAAAAGTTGTCAAATAACTGCTATCTTCAGACAGTTTGATTTGAAAAAAAAAAAAAATCCATCCTTAGCATCCAATACTGTGAATAACTTAGCCTTTGCCAGGTCTGACAATTAATACCTAATCTACTGTTGGCATCTGAAGTTTTGGCCTCTTTATTACCTTGTTTAAATCCAAACAGATTTTAAGTTTGTTACCCTTCTGAACTGTGACTAGACTGCCAATTCAGTCATTGGATTCTGCCACTGGAGCAATGGTTTCTTGTTTCTCCATCTCCTCCAGCTTGTTTTTCAACCATGAATGCAGTGGCACTGGCACTCATCTAGGAGTATTCTGTACGAGCTGCACATCATGATCAATTTCTATGACATATTCACCCAAATCATCATTATAATCTTCCATAATCTTCTCTTTACTAGTACGCAAGGCCGTCTTTCTGACAGAGTTTATTTGCATCCTTTTTTGCTCCAGACAAAGTTTACATCTGACTATAGGCCATGCAGCTTCTTCAACCACATCAAAGGTTTTTATCATGACTGGGCCACCATCTTTGACTTCTCTGGTTCTTCCCTCCTAAAAAAGAACCAGCTTTTTTGTTGTCATAGCAAGCTGTTGCCCCTGTAGGAAAACCAGAGCTGAGTTTGGAGAAGATATTTGTGGGTCTAGGGCGTGGTATTTTCTTCTGAACCTTGTTAGAGATTTTTAGGGCTCCTTCAATATCCTTCATGTTTGCATCCATATTGTTACCAAACAGCTCCTTGGTGACAGGATTCTGTGGAGAGACCAAAGCTTTGTATTTCTCATTAATGTCTGGTTTGGCGAGTTCTCTGCGAAACATAGAAATGTCATGTACAGATGCAGCAAGGATGCTGAATTCATCCGTCATCTTTGTGTTGTAAAGCAAATTACTTACACTTTTACTAATTACAGATAACAATTAAAGCGAAATCAAAAGAGTAAAAGGACAGAGAGTTATTGAGTGTAAGTTAAGTTTCTCCAAGAGTCAACAAGTGTAGAACATGTTTTTAGTGTCAGAAAAAGATGGAAAAGGTCAAAGTCAGAAACAATTTATGTGATTGGTTAATTTCATAACATAGTCTAATTTGGATCATCTATTTATCACATGATAACCGAGTTTTGGATAAGGCCCAAGCATGAGTAATTCAAATAATATTTTAGATATCTTTAATTGAAAACAAGTCTCTTAGGGATTACCTAATAAGGAAATGTTGCATGGTGACTTGCAACATGCGAATGGAAAATATTTTGTAATCACGCAAAGACAATGGAAAAGAAAACAAGTAAATGCGTGATCAGTACAGAGAAATTGAGTATAAATATTTGTGAAGTTGTATGAAACTAGAGTCGGTGAATAAGCGTTCGAAAGCTCCAGACTGCTGTCGTCATTCCTCACTATAACAAGTGGTAGAGGAAAAATCGATCCCCACTCTACCGAGGCAAGCGGAACGGCGATACAGTTATGGTGATGACGGCAGCAGGAGCGTAGACACCGATGGGTTCACACCATCCACCCAAGGGCAAACATCGTCAGTGCCTCAGTGAAGAGAAAACTGAGTATGCTAGGTACTGAAAATCGCCAAAAGCAACAATTAATACCCAAGCAACAATTAATAACTGAAAAAAAAAATGAAGATGTTGTCAGATTTGACTTTAGCGCCAAAAAAGTTTACTGGTAACGAAAATGAAGATGTAGAAAGGTGGTTAAAACAATTTGAAAACTTATAACTTTGAAGCTCATATTCATGAGTTGGTCATATAATTATGGTCTTTTGATAAAGGGTAAAAATGTCATGTTTCATATAAGTTGAAAAGCGTGAAATCTATTTAAAATTACTTATTATGTACCAATATTGATATTGATGACTTTTTAGCACAGAATGGAATACTCAGTACATTTGATGACTCTCTACGGTCTATTTGCTATATTATAATGATGGTGATGAATGTGATGGAAATATAAAGGATAGGCCTATTATCTTAAATGATCTGCCTTTTTTTCTATGCAAATTTTTGATGTATGTTAATTGTATTGGCCGAAAGTATTCTAGATTAAAATTAAGACAATCATTACAGTTGGAAATTCAGTATATTCACTTTATTTTGTATTACTTTTATAATCTATTGGCCTTTTTTTATTATATTATGACTTTTTTCTTACATTATATATCAAAATGACCTACTTTATGTTCTAAGGTAATAATATTCGGAATAATGATATTCGGAAAGTATTTGTGAATAACCCAAATAAGGTAAGCTAAAGTCAAATATTACAACTTGCCATGAGGAAATTATTATTATAATTATTCCTTTTTTGCATGTTGTTTAAGACTAATTGGTACTATACAAAAGGGAATTCAAAACCAGACCCAGTTGTTAGTTGCCTATATAAGTTTATTTATAAAAGTTGGTGCTGTGTTATAAGTTATTTATACATGCTGTCTATTTATACATCTAGACAAATGTCTTTTTATGTACAGACACAGATGTGTCTGTACATATTGCCATCACCTGCGTCTGTCGTCGCCGATGCCGTCGCCGATGCCGATGCCGATGCCGATGCCGATGCCGTCGCCAATGCCGTGCACTTTCCTTGTAAACACGATAAGTGGAGGACAGTTTTACTTTTTGGCTTTATATTTACAGAGCTGATGAATATTCATGAAACGCAGGTCAAGTTCGAAAATCAGCATGATCGGGCCATTATTGTAGAACTTATGCTGCTTTTTCACTTTTCAGCATATATGCAACCCTGTAAACACATTTTAAGGAACACCGTTAGGCCTGTTGTCATGAAACTCACAGGAGTAATCAATCTTACTAAAACGCAGGTCAAGTTCGAAAATCGGCATGATCGGGCCATTACTTTAGAAGTTATGCTGTTTTTTCACATTTCCTCAGATTCAATTCTTAGGCATGTTAACAGTCTTATTATTTTACTAATAAGATACATAAAAGTGTTTGTTTGACATTTCCTGAATCTTTACAACATTGTTAGTTGATTATGTAAAAATGATGGTAAACTTGTTATCGTGTATTGTGTAATAAAGTGTCAAAAATGGAAATAAACTCATATCATTGCAGTTTGTCAGATGCAATCATTCAGAATCTCAGGATGGAGGAAATTGGACATTTAACACTGTTGTATTGATATTTTTCCCATCTCATCAATTTTCTTAGTTGATCGTATAAAAATGGCAGTAACCTGTTAATTTTGTTTATGTTAAAAAAATTGTTAAAAATGGAAAAAAAACATTTCAGAACAGTGCTGTCTTGTTTACATTTTGGCATTTTCAAGTTGTGACTTTGAAGTTCCATGGGCCTGAAGACCTTTGCTAGTCACATTTTCTGAATATCCATGATACTAATATTTTATTATTAAAAATTGATGGTCATTAAGCTGTTTAACATTATGTAATATTGCATCAAAATTTGAAAAAAACTTATTTTGGGCACTGCTCCCATGATGACCATTTAAGAAAAACCATGTCACTTACTGTTCTCAAACAGTACAGTAAATATGTACAGATGTGTCTGTACATATTGCCATCACCTGCGTCTGTCGTGGCTGGCGTTGCCGTCACTGTCACTGTC